TTAGTCGGCCCCTGATATCGGCGGCGACTGCCCCCCCCCCCCCCCGGGGGGCATCCGCGTCAGCAGGGCGAGAAAGCTACTCCGCGCCACGCAAGCGCCCAGCATTCTTCCACATGGCCAGTTGTCCGTCTGCAAGCTGGGGCGGCGTGGCAAAATCTGCGCAACCAGAAACCATGAGCAGACCATGGGGCCGAGTGTTTCAGCGCGCCGCCTGCGAGCCATTCCGGGGCGCGCCTTGCGTCCGCTGCATCCAAGAGTCCCATCTCCATGCTGCCAGCGCAGCCAGGGCCAGCTGCGCCCGGCGCATGGTTGCTTCCAGCTTAGCCTCAAGATCCCCGTCCAGCCAGTTGACATGGCCGCCCTGGATAAACCCCACTACGCCATTGTCTAAGTTGGCGCGCGCCTTGGCGGCCCTCGCCCAACATCGAGCAACGGCATGCCCATCCTCAACGCCGCGTTGGGTCTCTAAGCGTGGGCGCGCGCTCGGTCGGCCAATTTTCCAAGCGGGTCAAATAAACCCGCGGCGACTGAAGGCGCCCGTCGGGGCCCGGAAATCGATGGCGCACAGACCTATCCGGCACCTGCCCTGACGACCACGGCGAAGAATCATCTGGTTCGCGGGGAGGGCCCCGCACCCCGTCGACTGCGAGGCCCGCGTCAGTAACCTCCTCAAAAAAATATGTAAAAAAGGCGCCGAAGTCGACCCTGGCGCTGAAGCCGAGCGCGACGCGGAAGCTGACCCGCCCGCGGTCGCCGAGCTCCATGCAACATCGCGGGGAAGCCACCCGAAAGCGTCTACTGTGGGACCCCGCGTTAGTAAACGCACTGAACGGTGTCGGCCCCGAACTCGCCCCTGACGCTGAAACTAAACGCGACGCGGAAGCTGAGTCGCCCGCGGTCGCCGAGCTGCTCGCGGGCGCACGGGGGGGCCCCCGACCCCGTCTGCCGCAGGTCCCACGGGGCAGACATGTCAGGGACAACGCAGAGGGCGCCGATTATGATCCTCTCGCGGCGATAGCCCCACTGGCGGAGGCCAACCCGCTCGCGCCCGAAAACGCGGCAAGGGGCCAGTCGCGTAGATGGCGATGTCGAAGAAGGACATCAATCGTAGCGTATGTTCTCGGGCTTGCCCTGCTCGACCAGAGCGTGGAACGGCGCGGCCGCTCGACGCGCGCGCCCGGCCCATCGTTCGGCTACCCCCAAGAGTAGCTGGCTCCATCCCCAGGAGCCTCCGCCGCAAGCATCTGCTCATGCTCCACAACGCGTCGCTCGCCGTCTCCGCGCGAGATGTAAGGGGCCAATCCCTCGACAGTAATGCCGCGCCGCCCCGCGAGCCCCGACTCGAAAGTGTTGGGGGTCGCCTGCCGCGCTGCCGACAGCTCCTCGGTCGCGCCGACTTCGTCGGCCTGCTGGCGGACAAGTTCCTGGTTGCTCGGGGCCCGTGAGCGCCCTGGCCTGACCGGAGTCGGGGGCGCCCTGGGCTCGCCCATCTGCCGCGAGAAGCGGTGAGTCCTGAGACTTTATTTAGCTGGGGAATCTCTGGCAGGACGGCTTTGCCATCCAAACAGCCAAGCAGCGGAGACGAAAACATCGAGAACTCAACGGTCTGGGAGGCTCTGGCGACGCGTCGCGGCGCGCGGATCTGCGGCCGACCTGTCGGGCGAGTCGAACCATTCAAAACCCCATATGATCGATGCTCACGTCGAAGTCGCCGCTCAACATTCAGGTGGACCCTTGCGCTCGCATCCCGTGCGCATGTTGAGTAAACTTGCGTGGGGTCTCAACGCTGCGAGTCGACATCTTGTCGTCAACATAAACGTACATGGAAGAGCCAGCGAGGCCCTCCGTCGCCCCCCAGTGGGCGCTCGTCGCCACCGAACGATGGGGAATCAACACCCCGCCGCTAGTGCTAGGCGCGGCGGCGATGGTGGTCATCTCGCGCGCCAGCACGGCCACTCCCGCTGATGGGCCGAGCGCTGGAATGGACATCGCAGGACCCCGCGCGGCTTGCAAGCACACCGCGACCAGTTTTTGCTGACCGTCCGCAAGTTTATCGTCCGCCGCATGGTGGTCCTGAACACAAATTACCTGAACCTGAGCTTGCCAGCTGGTCCAGCTTGCCAGAGTCTCGATAGACTTGCCCTTCGTCACGTTGGCTAGCAACGACCAGGCGCCCAAGCAGACGGAACGCATTGCCCGCGCGGGGCGTCTTGGCCACTAAACTGGCGATCCCGTCGGCGACTCGCTTGACGGCGGCTCGCGGCTCCTCCTAGTCTCCGGGGCATGGCGCGCCCAGCGACCCAGCAAACTTGCGAAGCTCCTGTGGCAATTCAGTCCCCGACGGAACTCACCAAACAGAGGGTGCTGATCAGGAGGGCCATCAAGATGTTGCTGCTGCTTCTGATGTGGTTGTCCGTCAGGCTGGGCAGCCTCAGGCGCGGCAGGTGGCGCTGGTTTGCAGGCTTGCTCGGAGGCGCGAAGTGACTGACTTGAGCGGCGCCGCAAGAGCAGCGGCGGCCTCGCTGCCAAGCCCCCCTGCCTTGAACAGCTCGCCCAGACCCTCGACGGGCGTGCCGGCCGCGTCGAACTGCGCCTCCACAGCGCGCTGATTCGGGACGACCTTCGCCACAGAGTCCAGATCTGCGTGACCGCAGCTTTCGCCACCAGGAGCTCCGAGACCTCGCAGAGCTCAGGATCAACTGCGACCACCGCGGCGTTGGCAGAGACAACCGCTGCCTTCGCCTGCCCGGCGTTTTCCTCGCTGCGCTGCTTCTTCTGCAGCAACTGCCGCTCCAAGCGCATGCGCTGTTCCTTTCCGCACTCAGCGTCGGGCTCCTTAAGCACTGCTTCGGGCATCGACTCAGCCGAAGCCAGCTCGTTCTTGAAACGGACATGGTCGGCGCCGGCTGTGGGCGAAGAGTCGGCCTCAATGGTTCCCGGATCGGCCGTGGAGCGAGCCTCCAGCTTCTTGCGGAGCTCCGCGACCTGTTTCTCGAAAGCCGTTTCCACGCGCAGTGATAAGAGTCCTTATCCTTACCTTTGCCTTTGCCTTGGCCCATGTCCTTGTCGCTGGTAGAGGTCGGCGGGGCTGGCGGCGGCTCGCTACCAAAAAAGGCAGCGTTTTCGCTGCAGCCACACTCGCCCCGACAGTAGTTTGAAGGGGCCCTGGGACACACAAATAAATACACATAAATAAAAGGATTCCCCATATTTTCCCATATTTTCTGGGTTTTTGTCTTCCCCCCCCACTTCCCATATTTTCCCATATTTTCTGGGGAATCGACGATTAATTGTGTCTGTGTGTTTCTTCCCCTCCTGACAGTAGTTGGCCGATGCAGAATTCCACCTGCCTTCGCCCCTGGACTTAACACATCAGCGACACACCCAGGGCTTCGCCCATGCCATCCGCTGCTGCTGGCAACGAGAAGTTCTAACCATGGCGCCCAAAGGTCAATGAAGGGAAACTGGGACACACAAATAAATACACACAAATAAAAAGATTCCCCATATTTTCCCATATTTTCTGGGTTTTTGTCTTCCCCACCACTTCCCATATTTTCACATATTTTCCTGGGAGTCGACGATTAATTGTGTCTGTGTGTTTCTTTCCCTCCTGAACAGAGTATGACCCTCAGAAGGGGTCGTTGTATGAAGGCTGTGCTCACCCAGTGTAGGGCTGCACGCGAGGGGTTGGGGCGGATCAGGCCTCGCAGGAAAGGATTGAAGAAGCCCAAAGAATCAAAGCTACCCCAGTCAAGCTCGAAGGCGAGGAACCCCGCTATGGAAGGAGAATAAGGAGGGGAAGGTGGAGGGGAAGGTGGAGGAGAAGGGGGAGAAGGAGGGAGGGGGATGACGAGACATGTGAGGTGGATGGAACTGGGTCGGACGGGTCTCGTGGACTTCGGGCGCCGCTGATATGTTCCCGCGCTGCCCCTCAGCGACGTGAGCAGCATGGATAACTTTGACGGTGACTGCCCTACTGATCGCATCTGAAATGTTCGCCATCGTTCGGAGGGGCCTACGGGCCAGCGCAGCATGTCTAGGATGAGGGCGAGAAGTGAAGAGGCTTGAGAGGAGGAAGAGGGGGACAAAGAGGGAGTACGGGCTCGAGGGTATCGGGGCCATGCCGGTTACTGGAAAAGGGTAACTCAAGTTGGCTGCCGCTGGGTCCTTCTGACGATGTCGGCCTTGCTGTAGACCTTCGGCAAGAGACCTCTACCTGTACGATCAAGGTAATCCTTCCGATCAAGAGTTAAAGCTAGCTTCGGGTCACTAGCCCGACCCAAGTTTACAAGCTGTTCGGTAGCGAAAAATCCATAGGTAGTACAAAACCAAAGACCCAGCCCCAGGTGATAATTTAAAGAGAGAGTGTGTGTGTGTAGTGAACGTACCCCCTTGAAATATGCACCCTGCGCCCAGGAAGAAGCTGACGAACTTCGCTAGTTACATTGACCAGGTCGAAACGCGGCGAGTTCAGCAACTCGTTTCTCTTAGCAAGTGAAGCCGATCCAAAACAGCGCGAACAACTACGACCGTCTTCTCTTGGGGCCATCCCGAGACGAGAAGGAAGCGCAAACGGTATCACAGGGGGGACGTGCCATCTGGGAGCTCTGACGATTTCGCCTGCGACCCTCGGATCGTGCCAAAACCTGCGCGGCCCGCACTGCCTCCAGCGTGCTCTGTAAACTGCACATGCGCACGACAAAAGCGAGACGCTCGGCTTGCAACACACGCGCAAGCGCTCATTCTCGGGAAGGCGTGCTTCCTCGGCTCAGACCGAGGCGAAAGTATCTGCAACACGATTACCAAGGACGAGGAGAGGGAAGGGCGACTTCAGAAACTGCGCAGCGTGGAGAGACGAATTTACGAATAACACGGTGCACATCAAGTCCGCTTTGTGCCTCATCTCCTCTCCTACCCTCCACCAAGAGTCAGCGCCATTATCTACGGCTCTAGGAGGAGGGAGAGGGGGGGACGCGGCACCCGCAAGGGCCAGGCTCCTCGCACTTCCCACGCCAGCGTCGTCGCAGTCGAAACTCCCGCGCCAGTGGCAACAGTTCACCCCCGCCGCGAAGAACGCGATCTCCTCGCCGGGGTGGGGAGCGAGCGTAGGAGAAGAGAACACCCTTCATACGCGTCAACGTTCCAAGGCCCGCGCGAGCCTTCGAAAGTGTATGGTTGTTCTTGGAAATATTGCGTACAACCTCGATCTCCGAAAGGCACGCTGTCCCTGTGAGGTGATCCCCCCGCGATGGCCCTCTCTGCGCAAGCTGTCCCCCTGTCATTGCTTCTTCGGTGCCCTGTACAATCGAACCTAGGGTAGAAGAACATCTTTCAAACAAATGAGATTATCCCCAGTCCAAACCCACACAGAACAGCCAAGGGGAACCCTCCCCAGGATGCACAAGAACATCAAACAAGCACGAAGAACACCAGAGCACCCTCCCCGAACCCGCCTCGATCTCATACCTCGGTCCGACCGTACCCCCTGGTGGGGCAAAGCGTGCAGTAAAAGGGCCGGGGGCGTCACATCGCACGCCATCACTCCAACGCCAGCCGTGTTAGAGGAACAACAGAAAGGCATAAACGACTTGTGTCGGTCCGCGCGGAATTCTTGGATCTGCGCCGGACCCCCCTCCCTGGCGCGCGGAGCGCGCCAGAGGCGGCGCCGGAGGCGCCGCCGGGGGGGGCCCAGCGCGGATCCCAGAAATCCGCACGGAGCGCCAAGAGTTTATGTTTAAGTCGGGCCTGTCCCCCTAAAGGGGGATTTTGGGCGAAAAATATAAAATACCCACAAGACATTCCAAAATAGTCAAGAAATGATGGAAAAATAGTCCCCAGACTATTACTGACTATTTTTGAATATTTCCCCCGTGGAGGGACAGGCTCGACTTAAGTTTATGTTTATGCCGTTTTCTCTGCTTCGAGCTCTGCCCCTCTCCGAGAGCGGGCGCGCGCGAGGCAGCGGCTGCGGCTGCGCTCTGCCGGGCAGGGCGCTGCGCCCCTGGGCCCGGGGCCCGGCGCAGCAGACCACGCGGGGGCTGGACTGGAAAGCCACCCGCCGTCTGGCGCGTGGGCAGGAGCAGGGGGGGGGGGCCTCCCTGTCTTCCTCCCTCCTCTCCACACTCCCTCGTCCTCGCCCCCCCTTTTTCTCCCCTCCCCCCTCCCCCCCCCCCCCCTCCCCCCCCTCCCCCCCTCCCCCCCCCCTCCTCCATCGTCTGGAATCATCCCTGCCCACTGCTCCCCCCGTCCACCCCGTCCGCTCCTCAGGCCTCCCCCTTGCCCCCTGTCCCCTCCTCCGTCACTCCTGAAAACTGGTGCAGGAGGGGGCAGCTGGGGAGTGGCTCCTCGCTCGTTCCCCCCTTCCTCCCCCGTCCCTCTCCCCCCCGCCCCACCTCCTCCGTCCCTCCTGGGAGGAGGGGAGGAGGATGAACGCTCCGATGATCTGTCCAACTTCTTGCCGGTCCCAATTGGCTCCAAGGCGTCTTCAGCACCGCTCTTCCGAATGATGCGAGAGAGGCTTCACACTGTCAACGGAACGTGTGGACAGCAGCAACACAAGCAGGGAGACGGAGCAAGAGGCAGAAAGGGAGAGAGGAAGAGGCGAGAGCAGCACGGAAAAAGGCAGGAAAGCGAGCGAGGGAGGAAGGCAGCAGAGCAGGGAGGGGGGAGAGCACGGCAAACGGAGCAACAGCAGGGAGAGCCCCGCGGCCGGCCAGCTCCCCCCCCCCACCAGGGCGCCTCTGAGGGACCCATGCGGAGGTCCACGACGGGGGCCACGCACAGCGTTTCGCGCCTCCTGCCCGAGGCGTGGAGGCGTGGGGGGATCCTCCTCGATGGATGAGTGGCGCAACGTATGTGATCTAGTATGTGTGGTATAATTCACTTCGACCGTCTTGAAGCTGTCCTCTCCGCTGCTCGTGCAAACGCCCCGCCCTCCCACCCGCAAGTTGGTCGCAAGACCTCTTAAGACCGTGACGGCAGGTACCGCATGGCACTTAGCAAAGACAGTGATGCCGATGACGACAGCGACAACGACGACGACGCCGACTCCGACGACGCCGACGACAGCGACGACGTCGACGACGACGATGACGACGCCGACGACGACCACGACGACGACGCCGACGCCGACGACGACGATGACGACGACGACGACGCCGCCGACGACGACGACGACGACGACGCCGACGCCGACGACGACGCAGACGACGACGACGACGACGGAGACGACGACGATGACGACGTCGCCAACGAAAGCGACGGCGACGGGGGTGGAGGGGATGCGACGATGGCGACAACGACGACAACGACGAGGATCTTTTAAATTGCGTTCCCGGTTAACCGTTTCGGCTGTCAGATGATGGCGGCGCTCGCTGGCTATAACTACGCGCAAACATGCAAGGAGTGGATCATTAGCGTCGGCACCAAGGGAACAAAGTAACCCAGAAAGGCGGAACATACAACCAGTACTGCGCGCGACAAGACAAAACAGGGAGGAAGGAATGAGGCGCAACAGCAGAGCCACAAGGACGATCCTGCGATAATGATCTCCCTCCAGCTCCCTTCAACACCTGCGGCGGTGCGCGAGGCGGCCAACCTCTAGAAAGTGAAGGTGCGGAACTCAACTGAACAGGGCTCACGTACAATACCACAAGGGGGAATTACCTTCACGCATTCAGCTGGGCGACGGACACGGCGGCCCCCAAAAACATGCGATTATCTGGTCCGAACCCCGAGAACGTTAGGGGGGCCCAAATGGCGGTCACCATCAATCCCCTGCACATCTGCACGCGTGCATTTCCATTTCCGCGACCAGCACAACTTGATGTGCTCCCATGCCAACCGACCTCCAGCCAGACCCCTCTCACTCAGCATGCAGCATGCGAAGCCCTGGTCTTCAGAAGAACTCGCGGGGCGCGCGCGGGGTGGACGCATCGCCCCCCCCCCCCCCCCCCACACACACACACACACACACACACACACGCACACACACACACACCCCACAAGACTGGCGTGAACGACTGCGGCAGCGCATGTGGCGGCCAGACTCCAGATAAGTGCGGGTGCGGAGCTCAAACAGGGGCTCGCGTGCAGCGTCAGAGGGGCAAAGTTACCTTCGCGCACGCGGGCGGGCAACGGGCGCGACAGCACCGCCGGGCGCGCGACTATCTGGTTTAAACCCACAGAGGTGAAGGATCCCACAACAGCGATCACCCAAGAATACGCACGTCTGCACACTTGAACGCCCAGCCCACTCCCGACATCCAGCCTGGCCCCTCCAACGGCAACTACGTCGTGCGATCGAAGAGATCGAGCCCCAAATCGGGATATGCCGCCCACGGTGCAATCTCTGCGCGTTGATTTGCAGCCCTTCTATCTCGCGCCCCATGTTGGCTCCTCGCGACGCGGCCGCGAATCTGCGAAGGCAGTGGGGCAGGGGGGGGGGGGTGCGGGCGGGGGCGGGGCAGGGGTGCCTGCGCCCGCCTCGGCTGCCACCTGTTGGGGGCCTCCAATGAAGGGCCCTGCGTCGGCGCGCCCCTGCTCTTCGCCAGCCTCTGGCAGCCCTGGCGATCGAGGGGTCGCAGTGGGATCGAGGCGTCCTCGCCCCCGGGAATAACGGCGGCAACCAATTTGAAACGCTCGATTTCGGGGTCGGTACGCTGTTTACCTTGACTGCGCGCAACGAGATTTGGGGCCCAACCTTCGGCCGCCCCGAGATAAGGGGTCCCAGGGCCCCATGAATGCGCATCAGGGCATCTCGAGCTTCGTCTGACTCGATCATATCCGATGGCGGTCTGTCTGGACCCCCCTGCTCCATAATAGTCTGCGCAGCGTGCGCAGTCGCATCGGCGGCGCATTTGCGCGGGTTCTCGGGGTGCGTATTTTTCATCGCCGTCTGCCATTCATGGTTCGCCTAATCCTATCTATCCAAGCAAAATATCGTGTCCGCGTCTGTCATGCGAGCATCTTTCTCGCCCTGAGGTCGCCAACAGACTGGTGTGTATCTGCTGCGTGCGAAGCGAGAGAATGCGAGTTGGGGCCCGGGATGTTTGGCCACGCTCGCACTGGTCGAAATCTGTGCAGCGCGCAGCAGGCGACGACTCAATAGCACGCGATGTGCGACAGGAGAAAGAACTTACTGCCTGCGACCTCCAATCACAGGGTTGTGGGCGTTCCATCCAGCAGCATGTCCCCGCCGTCGCGCGCGCTGAGAACAGCTCCAATATAGCGCAAAGGAGAGGACCCCCTACCAACAGCTGCTCCATCTGGCGTGGCGAGACAGCTGTTTGTTCTCGAGAATTCGTCGCGCGCGCAGGCGGGGGGGGGGGGGCACTCCCTTCGGCCAAGCGCGGCCGACCAGGTTGCGCGCGGCGGACCGCCCCCCGAGACAACTATCCTGCGGGCCCTGATTTCCATTCCAGGTATCTAGCGTGGACCTGTTCACTATATCCCCAAGATTCGCATGAATATCGATGTCTATGGACAGCGCATATATATATATATATATATATATATATATATATATATATATTTACTGCATGACTCTGCATGATGCGACCACTCCACCTGTGCCTGCGCATCCCTTGCCCGGCGCCTTCCACAGTGGAGATTAAACTCGAAGTACCCCACTCTCCATATAGCACGACGAATCGGATCACTGGCCACCCCTGCGTACTGCTCCGTCAGAAACAGCCTTGCAGGGCACCTTTCCGCACTGTACTGGATTGGTGGTAACGGCGGCGGCGGTGCAGCAGCAGGCGCTGGCTTCGGCAGCAACGCGGCAAGTGCTGCCGGCGGCAATGTGGGGTCGGCTTCCAGGAGAGCGGTCCGGGCATCGCCCTGTGCCATCCCAGCAAACGTCGCGTTCGCATGTTCGGTAATCGGTCCCTCTGCTCGGATGGTGGGCGCAATCTCGCGCCTTCGTCCCAAATCTACACCTGGGGTCCGCCCGATAGTAGACGTCGCAAATACGAGGTCTGAAACATGATGCGCGATGCGCGGGACAACCGCCAAGGGTAGTCGAATCCAGTCCAGCCTTGTGCATGCACGGATCACTGAGGAAAACGAACTAGCACCGTGGGGAGTCGTCGGCCAAGTGATCTACTAGATGCTGACGATTATGGGCAGTAGCAAAGCAGGCGTGACATTGCCCATTCGGGACAGCCCAAGCTCTTGCTAGGGTCGATTGTTGTCGGCGCTGCCTTGCAGCCTGGGTGCGTAACGCTGCGCGCTGGACGTGCCGTGCTGCCCACCACGGACATTGCAATGCTGCATCACCGCCTGAAAGACTGACCGGTGGATCCACTGACATAGCTCGCGCGCCTGTAAAACACGATCGGGGGCGCCGGCTTGTCTTATCTCATCGAAGAAAGCACGCTCCACATCCGCAATCATTGTGTCGCGCATGTGCGCCTGGGCTGTAGCCGGCAGGGCCTGGCCTATGATGATGCGTTCCCATGGTGCAAGACCCTTCTTGATCATGGCCTCCCATGGAGCAATGTCAACGGCTGGCGGCGGCAGCTCTGCACCAGGGGGCTGCGTATCTCTCTGCGCCAGTCGCAGTCTTGCAGGGTCAGCCCGAACCACACGCGACTGCGCATAGCACCTCCGCCCGCCGCCGACCATTCAGCACGTAGAAGAGCAAAGGCCAGCCTCGCACCAATACGCAATATCGAGCCGAGTAGCCGTATTCGAGCAGCTCGTAACAAAGTCTCTGGAGACGGTCGTTGAAGCCTAGCCAGAACCTGAGCATTCGTTGCGCGCGAGTCAGCCTCCACCAACCGAACTCCTGCCGCATGCCCATCAACTTTCATGATCTCCACCTCCACCTGTTTGGCTTCGCCCACCGCGTGAGCCGGCCAACCCCTGCATTGTAAAGCCTTCCTGACATAGCCAAACTGTCTGTGCGCGCGACACGAGTGGCATTATGTGGCACCTCGGGAAGAAACGCGCGATTTCGCAATGCACGTAGCGTGTTCGTAGTCGTAGACGAGCGGTAATGAATTTGTGGCATCGCGGCACCGGCTGTATCCAACACTGAACCCACATGCACATAGTTGCGTACTACAGGTGCCCCCACCTCCCCCAATAAGACAGATTGTCCTTGCAGCATGCCTCCATGGGTGTGCCACACATCCCTTTTGGCCTGTTTGGAACCGAGCCCTCTTATGGACATCAGTGCTGCCGTTTTTGTAGGTCCTACGTTGAGCAAGTGGCCCCGCGCAGCTGACGCATCCGATGCATTGACAAGCGGGCGGCACATGGCAGCGTAGATGTCCCCTGCTGGCAACATAAAAATGATTGCACCCTGGTCTGCAAATTCGACACCCACCTACGGCACCGTGCTGGCAAGAAACACACTGTGCACACTGTTTTTTTTCGCATAAACTGGCAAATGCACGGGTAAACTCTTTCCGACTCCAAGGTGCCTCGAACTTCATGCATGCAATCCGCCATGAGTACTTCATACAATACGTCTGCCCAAGGTTGTCCTGGGAACGCTGGGCGCAGGGCCAGAGAGATCCGCTGGGAGCCCTCACGCATAAACCAGGGTGGCTGATAACATTGCGCCGTCTGGTCAAGGGTATGCTGATCAACGGTGCCCTGGGCTCAGGATCGCGCCCTTTTCCTTCAATCGTCGCGCCAACTCATGCATGGCAGCAGGGGGTGATCCAGCAGCGCGGACAACGCGCGCAACAGCATCATCGTCGAACGGAAGTCTGAGCAGGAGCTCGCGGAGCGTCCGGTCGAATGCATGAGCCACATCCAAACGTGGCGATCCCAGAGACAATCTGTGGGCAGCCGCCACGGCCTGTGCCGATCTTATCAGCAGGGAAGCATGGGCTGTGCCGCATCGGGGGATACCTCCGAACTGTGACTTTTCTGCGGTGGCGACGAGAGTGGGGAGCAGCCGTTGTCGAAGACACCTTCTCGACGCCTTACCGATCTGGGGCGATGCGGGAATCGATCGCGAGTTGGGGCGTTGTTCTGGGTCGGCCGAAACCATAGTAAAACTCCCTATAGTCCCCCCCTGCCACTGGACTGGTTCCACCAAGGTAACTGCACACTTTGGTTGCGAGGGATAGAATAGCTTAGCAATCTCCAAAGCAGATGAATGGAGTAGTCCTCCTGTGAGCCCGTCGCATCCTGCCGCCGCCGTCTTAGCCTGAACCCGCGCAGACCGCCGACGGTTTACGTTTACGTATGCGTATCTTCTTCGTCTACACATTCCTCGCCTTCCTGTCTGTCTGTCTGTCTGTCTGTCTGTCTGTCTGTCTGTCTGTCTCTTTCTGTCTCTTTCTGTCTGTCTGTCTGTCTGTCTGTCTGTCTGTCTGTCTGTCTCTGTCTCTCTCCTTCTCTCTCCCTTCCCAGACCGCCTGGCCGACGGCAGTCTGTTTCCCCGCCCGACAGGTTGGGCCGTTTTCATCTCCTGGGGGCGCATCTTCTACTTCCGCCGCCTTCCGCCGGCGGAGGCGGCCCCGTTTTACCTCCGCCGACCTTCCGCCGCCCTTTCGCCGCCTCCCGCGGCAGCAGAGATGACAGTTCCTTCGGTCCTCGAAGGCAGGGCCTTTCTTGGAACGCCCCAGCATCGCGTCCCCCTCCTTCAAGACATGTTCGCCAGCGTGGGTCCCAAACGATGTTTGCTTGTACTCTTGTGCGGCGCAGTCGAGGTGGCGCAGCCAATGTGGTGCAGTCGACGTGGCGCAGAGCACCGCACAGCAGCGCAAAGCAATGCAAAAAGCACTGCGGAGCAGGACGAAGCAGTGCAGTGCAACGCAATGCGCAATGCAATGTGATGCAACGTAGTGCAACGCCATGCAACGCCATGCGCGGCGACGGGCGGCGGCGACGGGCGGCGACAGGCGGCCACATGCCGCCCTGGCCGCCGCCCAGGCTCAGTTGCCAGCGGCGACGGGCGGCGGCGGACGGCGACGGGCCGCCCAGACCGACACCCAGGCCCAGCTGCCTTGGAAGACCAGCGCGAAACCCGAGGCGTAAGCACTGCTCGGGGAATCGGACTCTACCCCCCCAACGGAGGCCAGGACTACCCCCCCCCTCCGCGTACTGTTTTTGTTTAGCTTTTGTCCCGCACCATCGCCCATCCTGAATGTCTGAAAAAGCACAGTCATCCGGGCTGCATCCATGTCGACCCCCCCCCCCCTCTCGCCACCTCCAGCAAAAGTCAACACGACCCACAAAAGGCCTCAAAACTGCCCCCCATAGGCCCCTGAGAGGCCAACTAACATCCGTGAGGCCTCTGACCCGCCACCCACCGCCTCCGAAGAATGGCAGCCGCCCAACCGCACCGCATTGACAAAAACACCCCGACAAACGACAGCGGCGAAGCAGTATGGGCCAGCGGAATGAGCGAAGGGATTAAAGAAAAAACACTGTCATCCGGGCTGCATCCATGTCGACCCCATCCCCCCCTCCCGCCATCTCCAGCAACAGTTTACCGTGCGATGCGCATGCGTTTGCACGGTCTCCCCCGGGGCTGTAGGTGACCCGAGGAGGAGGTGGAGGAGGGGGAGGGGGAGGAGGAGATGGAGGAGGAGGAGGAGGAGGAGGCGGACGGGTCGCCTAAGCCCTTCGGAGGAACCCTCCACCCCCCTCCTGCCGTCTCCAGCAAAAGCCTACTATGCGATGCGCATGCGTTGATGTAAGAGAGGTGCCGTCGTGAGAATCCGTTACGCAAAACCGTGGCGGGGCACATGCGCGCGCCCTGCCGCTCGTGCGCCAAACTCACTGCAACACCAAGTAGCGTCTTCAGGAAACATCCGATAACACCACTTGTGGCTGAACAGACATGTCAGAATGCTGCGCGCGCGCCCAATCGAGTCATGAGAGGACCATCGTTTTTGTCCTTTTTGTTTCCCCTCTTTGTGGGGTCAACAAATATGCTCAATTGGCACAAAAGCGGCAAGCTCGACAGTTCATGCAGACGATTATGTCCGAACTGATCATGCGAAGCGACATCCAGTCGCGCTGGCTTACCATGTTCCAGCACTGCTATGAGGGGTCTTCCTCTGAGCAGTGAGACCCTTGGCTATTTGAAATCCCAAGGGGCACAACAAATTTGGCTGGGGACGCCAGCATAACACCATCTGGATGCGCGCCCAGCTAAGTGCGTTGCCTGAGCACTGAACTCCAATTAGATCCCTACGGACGCTTCCCTTCACACCTGCAATGCAAGCTAGGAATTGGAAGCTATGCACAACATTGTGATAATCAAAAATGATCAGGGAAAAGCGGGAAATCGCTCTCACACCGTACTTTTAGTCTTTGGACCGAGCCTGGGGGGATCATCGCTGAGACGAAAAACTATATAACAAAACGCCCCCCCCCCGGGCGATACGGCAGCGTACGAGTCCGCGGACCCGAAAGCAGAGACAAATTCTGGAAACTTGGAATACCAGACCCAAGGCTGCCATGATGCGCCACTGGAGCTGCCGACGGTCGGAGTGCGCGCAAGTAACGAATTCATCGCTCGCCATGGACGCGGCCAGCGGCACTCCGCCAACTCACCCCTGTCGCGGCTCCCGGCGGCTCCCGACCGGGTGGTACGACCGGCCACGCGACCTCTCGGGTCGGGCGAAAGGGGGGGATAGCAAAGGGGTGGGTTGAGAATCAGCTCACGTAGCTGATTTTCCCGGCGCCTCCCGGCGCCGGAGGCGGCTATGTATCGAGGAATGGGCCCCTCGGTGAGGCCGAAACCAGCTGCATGCAGCAAATTTCGTAACCCCCCCTTTCCCAATCCCCTCCTTTCGCCCGACCCGAACCTCAGAGCAGCCCCGAGCGCTGCTGAGGGCGACCCTGGCGGCGGGGCAGGCGGCGCCACTGGCCCGCGGGCCCCGCGGCGCAGCTCCCTGGAGACGGCGCCCGCCCAGCTCCTGGCCCTGGGGCTGCCAGCGGCGCCTTCGCCCTCGGCGCCCTGTGCTGCTGGCGCCGCGACCGCCGCGGATCCGAGGCCGTCGCGCTCGGCGAGGCACGGGCGCCGCTGCCTCACGCCCACCTCCCAGGGCGAGCACGGCGGCCGCCGGGAGGCAGCCGCCTTCTGCTCCCAGAAGGCCTCGGACCGGAGTCGCCTGAGCGGGGCCACCGCCGGCGCTGGCACCGCAGACCCCATCTTGGGCTGCCCGTCCCCGGAGGACACCGCCTCGAGCAGCGCCGTCTCGAGGAACGCTGGTTCATCGCCGTCCCTCGGCAGCGCGGTGGCGCCCCAGCTCTCCTTGTGCGCGTCGGCGCCCTGGTCGTCGCTGAAGGCGAGCAGCTCTGACGTTGGGCATCGCGTGGGGGCCGAGCTGAGCCAGTTCGTCTCGGGACGCACCGCCTTACACTTCCACTGCTCGGCGAGACCCGCTTCAACTCCTTGGAACACCGCGCGCGGGCTGAGCATGGCTGGTGGGATACTTGCTGGTCGGCAATCACACACACACACTGCTAAATTCGAGATCAAAACTGCCCCAAAGGTGGCTCGAGCCAGAACGGCTTGAGCCACCTGTCCAAGGAGACCATGTCACTGTGCCGACCTTGCAGACGTGCTGCAGCGGAGTTTCGGCGTGGATGTCCGTCGATGCAAAACCCTGAAACGGCGAGCGAAAAACGGAGTGACTTTTGCGTGGGTCCTTTCTGGTCTTCGCTCCTGGCCCCAAAAAACTCGCACGAAACCCACCTCGAAGTCCGGAGCGACCCTCTCCAGGACACCCCGGGCCCACCCCGTCGTTTTCCGAACGAAATCCGCTCTGCGCTGGCGCGAGGACAGAGGTGGCTTGAGTTAGGTCGGGCATGTCCCCCTACAGGCGGATCTTCAACGAGAAATAAAAAATGCTCAAAGTGGTCAACAAATGCAAGGGAAATCCTCCTCAGACTATTTTTTACTATCACTATTTTTGAATATAAAAGGGGCGCCAGGACACACAAATAAATACATACACATAAAACGATTCCCCATATTTTCCTATCTGTTCTGGGTTTTTGTCTTCCCCCCCACTTCCCATATTTTCCTATATTTTCTGGGGGATCGCCGATCAATTGTGTCTGTGTGTTTTTCTCCCTCCTGAGAACACTCCTCCTGTGGAAGGACGGGCCCGACTTGCGGTTTGAGCCAGAACGGCCCGAGCCACCCGTCCAGGGAGACCATGCGGCCCCCTCGCGCGCGCAGGGCGAGTGCCTTCGGCCGTCATCAGCCGCCCGCCCAGCTCCGTCGGTGCGATCGCGCGCGGGCGTCCCCGCGCGCGCGCGTCGAGCTGCTTCCGAAGCCACTGGTCTTCCGACCACGCCAGCACACAGGTCTAAGTCGGGCGTGCCCCTCTACAGGGGGAATATTCAGAAATAGGCAGGGGACGATTGTTCGAGCATCGTTTGACCATTTTGAGTATTTCTAGGGTATTTTAAATGTTTCGCCCAAATACGCCTGTAGGGGGACATGCCCGACCTATACATATATGTCCAACAACTACGAAAAACAATCGTTTCCAATGAAATGCGTAAGGATGTTCGTCATTCGGCGGGCGCGCAATTTCTCATTACCCTCATCAGCACAATCGTCATCACTATCGTCAACGTCATCACGCCATCGCCAACATCATCATCGAAGACGTCATCGTCGGGGTCATCGCCGCCGCCGGCATCGTCGTCATTGTCGATGTCGGTGTCCTCGTAAATTTTCTGCGCGCAGGCCCTTCCTTATTAGCATTACCAGCACCGTCGTCATCATCATCGACAGCGTCATCGTCACCACCGCCATTATCATCACAATCAGCTTTATCACCACCACCATCGTGGCCGTCGTCGACATCGTATCGTCCCAGTCTCCACTGTCATCGCCATCAGCATAAGCGTCGTCACCATTGTCATCTCCATCGTTGTTGGTGTCGCGGTCGTCACCATCGCCACCATAATTTCGCGACCCGCAGGACGGACTTGTCTGCGCGGTTGAGTTCCACGCGCCCGTGCGCTCGCCGAGATCAGGGCCAGGTGAGCTCTGTCAACAAGTTGCGGGTGGGAGGGTGAGATGTTTGCACGAGCATTGGAGTTGACGACTGCAAGCTCCACACATGCAGCACATTCATTGCAGCACGTATATTGCAGCACTTAGCTTGCAACCCAGTATTGCACACCGTGCATTGTGCACGTTGAGGCGTGGAAGAATGGCAAGGTCAGCCTGGTGGGGCTTCTGAATTCTACGCAAGCCCCCTGCCCGCATCTCGTTGCGTGCACCGCCCTCCTCCCGACACGACAAAAAACCAGGAACCCGTGCTGCTGGCGCCGCGACCCCTCGTAAAGGCAGAAGAACAGCGTGTCCGCGCCCCAAGCCTCTGGCAGGCAACATAGGACACCGAGATGACCCAACGAAGGTGGCCCAAGATGGCCCCACGGCGGCACACGATGGCTCCAAGGGACGGCCCGAGGTGCCTCCAAGCGGGCCGGAAGCTGACCTCCAGCAGGACGCCGCCCACCTCTGGGTGCCCCCTTCGGCTGTCAGATGTGGCCCAAAGCGGCCCAGGAAGCCTCCTCGATGGCCCCAGGACGGCCCGAGATAGGGCGACGAGATCTATAGGGAGATAGGCCCTCCCTGGCCAGGCCAGGAGGGCGTATACACCGCTCCTGGGCCCAGGATTGGCCTGGCCAGGAGCAGTGGATATGCATAGATCTCGTCGCCCTACCGAGAGGCCCCCAAGAGGGTTCCAGGGTCGCCCAATGGGCCCCACGATGGCCCGAGAGGCATCCCAAACAACCCCAAGACGGCGCTGGAGAGCCCTGCGACGGCCCTGCGACGGCCCCACGGCCGCCGCCAGGCACCCACAAGGCGAACACGAGGGCCCAGAGGCAGCCCAGGAGAACCCCAAGACTGCGTCAGGAGCGTCCCAAGACGGCCCGAGAGGGCCCCAAAGGATCCCCAAGGCTGCACCACAAGAGGCCAAGGCAGCCCCAACACGGCCCAGACGAGCTGCATGAGCGCTCCTCAGATGATGATGACGAACTGGGTCACATGTGACGGCCTTCCTGTTCCTTTTCCTGCTCCTCCTCCTCCTCCTCCTCCTCATCTTCTTTCTCCTCCTCCTATTCCTCCTCCTCCTCCTCCTTCTCGCCATCATAATCATCATCAGCAGCAGCAGCAGCAACAGCAGCATCATCATCATCGTCATCATCACCACCACCACCATCATCATCATCATCATCACAACCACCAACATCATAATCCTCTGTCTCATCATCATGCTCCTCCTCCTCATCATCACCAACATCAGCAGCAGCAGCAGCATCAGCAACAGCAGTACCAGCATCCCATGCATCGTCGTCGTCGACATAATAATCACCTCCACCACCATCATCATCAGCGTCGTCGTCATCGTCATCATCATCATCAGCATAATCTTCATCATCATCACAATCATCATCGTAGTTGTAGTCGTCGTCTCCATCATCATCACCACCACTACCACCACCACCATCATCATCATCACCACCATCATCGTCACCATCACCGTCATCACCATCACCATCATCATCAACATCAGCATCATCATCGTCGTCGTCATCAACATCATCACCATCATCATTACCACCATCATCAGCATCACCAATAGCGTCAGCATCACCAGAATCATCATTATCATATCATCATCACCATAATCTTATTCTTCTGCATCATCAAAAACCGAACAAACAGCATCAACATCATCGCCATCATGGCTTTCCGAACCCTGGAGACACGAGGTGTCACATGTGACGGCCTCCCGTGCCCCCTCGAACTGTCGCCAACCATAATGCTGGGATGGTATGGTGTCGGGACTTGCCGCATGCAGCTGTATATACTGCACGACATACTACTGCAACATATGTGATTTCAACACTCATGTTGCACTACATAGCTTGCACCGCACAACTTGCACCACGTAGATTGCACCACACAACTTGCACCACATAGCTTCAACATTCAGAATGCACACACTTACCTTGTTGGTTCCACGCTGGCACATAATGTACCGATACATTAACTGCCCTCTCGTCGCCTCACCGTTGCACTATAACGGGATAACCGTGGCATGTTTGGGTTATCCATCCATATGGCGTCGCTTGCACACGGCTCTCTGAAAACATGTCGTGTGCTCTTCTCAGCCTCGCGTGAGGGACCTGAATCCTAGCTGACTCACAGATGCTGGACATGTCATACTTGCCACACTCTGTCTAGATCCAGAGAAACTACTCTTGAATTGTATGTGAACGACTGCAAACTGCTGGCGAACCCTCGTTGTTTACGAGCTGACTGGAAAACGCTTCTTACCAGTACGTAGCTTGGAACAGTTTGTTCGTGGCTTATTCACTGCGCACCCTTCAGCTGGCTCGTGGTTCACACGGTGGGTTGACTTCTAGCCTGAAAACCAATCGTAACTCATTGTGTGCTGTCGCATACAGGTGGCTTGGCTTGCAATGTCATTCACAGAAAGGCTGCGTCCAGAACGCACTAATACCGTACTACACGATTAGGCGCACATAGACTCAAGGGCTCCCAACTTCGCGCTTCGCGCTGCGCGAAGCGCGAAGTGCGAATAACTTCGCGCTCTCGCGCCGCCTCCCAAGGGAGAAGAGGAGGATGAGGAGGAATCGGAGCCGAACCGCGAAGCGCGAAGCGCGAATAACTTCGCGCCCTCGAGGGCGCCCTTGTAGACTGCATCTGCTCTTGGCAAAGCGTTTCCCTGCACGCCGGAAATGCATGCTGGGAGCGGCCGGTGGATCACTTCCCTGCTGAGAAGAGAAAGCAAGTGGGCGACGACGACGAGGGTGCTTGAACTCGAACTAGCTGTCGCCGTCCTCGAGCTTCCCAGCTCCGCCGCACCGAGCAGCAGCGAGCTGGCACTGTTCGGCTCGGCTGCCCTGCCCGCCATCCGCCGATGCGAGGCTTCATCCTGCGGCCCCAGAAGTCCCAATCGCTCCCCCAGGGATACTCTTTTGTCCCGCATCCATCTTTGATTGCCCCGGGGCCCGACAACGAAAGGGGCCCCCGAGGACCGAGATCGAAGAGAAACAGACCGACTTGCGAAAACCACCTCGTCGGAGATCTGGGCTCCGCACCCGCAGAAGAGGCGGCCTCGCCGGGCCCGTGCCTCCTTAGCTGGACGCCGCCAGCCTTGCACCATACCAGTTCGATGCTCTCTTCCGCGCGTGCTTCGGGTCGGGCGAAAGGGGGGGATAGCAAAGGGGGGGTTTGAGAATCAGCTCACGTAGCTGATTTTCCCGGCGCCTCCCGGCGCCGGAGGCGGCCATGTATCGAGGAATGGGCCCCTCGGTGAGGCCGAAACCAGCTGCATGCAGCAAATTTCGTAACCCCCCCTTTCCCAATCCCCCCCTTTCGCCCGGCCCGAGTGCTGGCACGCGCAGCGGCGTGCATCGAGCTGGTCTGGTACGCGGTACCAGATATCTATCGTCCAGGGGGAATTGCAGCATCGCGAAGAAGCGCGACCGGAGCCCCAGACCCCATCTTCCTGCGGCACTTTTTTCGGGGCGGACCGACCTGTGCTGGCCCCGGGGGCCCCGAAACGCGGCGAAAGCGCCCGTCGTGACAGAATTGCAGCACCAGGGCCCCAAGGTGCACGCCTGGCGCCGTGCAGCAGTGCACGAACGAGCGTGTCGAGGCGCAGCCTGAGCTGGAATGCGTGCAGCTCGGGCAGGGAGGTGGCAGGGAGGAAGTCGGTGATAAGAGCGGGAAAGCAATTTCGTATTGAACTCCATCTCGGATTTCATCTTGGGTGGTTCCTTCCGGCCGTTCCTGCACTGCTACAGGGTACACGGCTGGCGCCGTCTAGCTTTAGGTCGGACATGTCCTCCTACAGGCGGAGATTAAACGAAACATATATATATATATGTATATATGTAAATATATATAAGAAACACGCAAACACTTATAAATAATAGTCAAAACATCGCCCCCGACTTTTATGCTTGGTGAAAAAATATAATTTTGAATTTTCCTCCCGTAAAGGGACAGGCCCGACTTAAACCTAATTGTGTGTCGTTCGCGCCCCGTGCGGGTCCCTGGCCGCCAGCTCGCACAGCCGTCGCGCGTGCGCGATCCCGCGCCCGAGCGCCGCCTGCAGGCGCTCACGCAGCTCGGCCGCCTCTTGGCGGCGCGCCCCGGGGGGGGAAAGGCAAAAGGTGCGAGGCGTGTTGTGCTTCTGTGGGGAATTAAGAATTTTCAAATATTATGTCATGGAATTAACTATGCTATGATTGTGACCTGTGTATGTATAGATGTGAGCATAGTTTCATACGTGTATTCATATTTATATACATGAATGCTTGCATGCATGATCGCATGCATGTATGCATGCATGCATGTATGTATGGATATCAATATATATATATATATATACACATACACATTCATCGAACCACGCGCGCGCTAAAGTTTTAATCGCAGATGAGCCACCGGTGCCGCTGTAAACCCCGCTGTGGCCACAACGGCGATTTCCAGCGTTCTCGGGCGGCCCATGCCATCGACGCAAAGGAACGCGTAGTCATAACGCGGGGCGCCACGTTCCCGCGTATCTCACAATCCCGCTGCCGCCCTTGTTTGGTTTATCGAACTGCGCTGTTTTCTGTCACTTCCTCTCTGCCCCGTCGTGACATTCAATGATTCGTGCACACATGTTCGGTCTCCCCATGCCCGATAATGCAGACATCCGCCGGCTCCTGATGTTGGGGTTGGCTCGGGGCCTCGTTGCGCGCGCGTGGCAGCGCGTTGTTATTGTTCCTCTTCCTTGTGCTCCAAGCTTCTCGTTTTCACCGGTTGTTCAGCTGTCGTGTATTAGCAGAGGGCGCGCGCAGATGTCCCAGTCATCAATGCCCTTCTCTGCTAGCACTTGTTGTCGTGTCCGTCCACGGGAAAAGGGGGAGCTACTTTGTGTTGGACGCCTTACCTCATGCTGGCGATAATCGCACCCGTGGAATCAAAAGGTTCGGGCTCGCGGGGGATGCTCAATGGTTTGCCTGGCAAGTCCCATGTATGGGGCTGCCTGGAGCTCTGACGGGGCCTCTGACGGTACCTTCTTGGCGCTCTGGCGAAGCCTTTCAGGAGGTACGGGAGGGGCGCGAAACCTGAGACATTGTATAATGTAGCCACACCCCGCTCGCTCGGGCGGGTCCGCCCTGCAAGGGTGGGAAAAACAAAAATCGCGTGAAAAAGTATGGTGTAGAGATGCCGTGCTCTCTCTCTGGCGGGAGGTTCCCTGGCGCTCTGGCGGGGTTTGCCCAGGAGGGGAGGGACGAGCACGACACTGGAGGAAAATTATGGTATAGCCACACCCCGTGTGCTCTGACGGGGCTACCTCGGGTGCGGTGGGAGGAGCAAGACAAAACAGGGACTGTATATGGTCTAGCAACACCCCTCACGCT